GGCAAACTGGTTTCTCAGTAAAGTTTGTGTTTGTTTTTCCACTTCAGTTTCGAGTTGGGAGATAACATTTCAGAAAGGTGGAGAGGAGTGACAGGTTCTAGGGAAGGACTTACAGCCTTCTACGACTACCACCTTCTTCCTCATGGCCCACCTCCCATACCCTTAGGTTCTTGTTTCTCTACAGCGTCTCCACATTCCTCCCCCTTCTTCCATTTCTAGTCTCTGTCCCTATCACTTGGATTCTTTCCATCATTTGAATTTGCACCTTCTTCAACCTGGAAGTCCTCTCCGTGGATCCCTCCCCCTCCCAAATAAATAAATAAACGAGTTGAGAGGGAAAATGGATAACTATAATAAGATAACAGCTGATGTCTCGTCATTCATCTACCTCACTCCTATACATTCAGCACTTCATCTGTATCCAAATGGACACACGAAGTGTTTTCGTCATCACCGTCACCACCAATTAACAACCATTTATGCAGATTTCAAAGGGGACTGTGGACTCTAGATCCAAAATGGGGTGGGGGAAGGATTGCCAAGGCTTGTTTTAGTGTTTTGATGTAATTACTTAGGAACATAACAGTACACACAACTGCATTCAGTTCTCCTAACATAGGGGTAAGGGCACAAGACAGTATCAGTGTGGGATGAAATGCATGCGATCTGTATTCTGTAGAGAATTATCTGGTTTTGGAGTTGTATACAGCCCAGACTACTTTTTCCTCAACTGAAGGAGATCAGTTATTACTCCGGAAGCCCGTTCTAAGATGTTTGTGTGCAAAGTAACTGAAGCAAAATGAACGCCAGACTTTTCTTTTCGGAGCGTAAGCATCTATTCCCCACCACCAACACCACCCCACCCCACCACACACACATCTTCCCGCCTCCATCTATCTATGAAGCCCCAAGCACAGCAGGGGCACTTTCTTTCAGGCTAGGGTGCACACTGGTCAGCGACTCCCCAGGAAGCAACAGTTCCTTGCAACCTGAATCACATAACCAGGGGTCGCCCTGTTCCCAGAAGCAAAGTCAACTCCCAGCCCAGTCAGAGCTCAGTCTGTTTTCTTTCACATTTTAGGGGTAGGGGGAGATGGGTGGGATTAGACGAGAGGAAGGAGGTGAAGGTTGGGAATGAGACAATTTGTTTGCACTCTACATTTGAACAGGGGCCTTTGCCCTTGTGATCACTGGCGATACAGAGCCCTGGGTCAGGTCCAAACCAGGTCAGGTACAGCGTATCTCTCTCTAGTTTATGCCTGGAGGTTTCAAGGTCTGCCGATTCTGCGCGTGTGCCTTTTTCTCTCTTTCGCTTTCGCCAGATAAACCAGGTCCGGTTACTTCCTCTGCCCCAGGACTGTCCTGAAACCTACGTATGGCTGACAGCTCCGATACTCGTCTCTCCTCCTTCCCGCCCTTTCCAGACTGCCAGCGCTCCAGTAGACAACCAACTCTTACTTAGAATGTTGTAGTGGACAGGGAAGGGAGGGGAGCGGTTAGGTTTCTGGTGCAATCCTGCCCCCCCTCCTCCCCGTTCAGAAACTAATTTAATTAACACAAGTTTCCTACTAAGGCATCTCCACTCATCCACCCACTCCAAGCCTTTATTCCTCCTTTCCTTTCCTTGCTCTCCAGAATACGGGAGGAAAAGAACTCGACAGAGCATCCTCCTGGGCTCGCCTTCGCTCTCTCTTAGAGAGTAGCTATCTCCCAGAACTCGCTTCTGCTCTCCATCATCCCCGCCTCACTCCCCGTACACCTCACACTCCCTTTGCATCTCAGACGTCTTCCTTCTCATCCCAACCACCTTCTTCCTCGATTCTCCCTGGGGAGGGTGTCGTGTCTTTCCCAAAAGGTAAACTTCCATTAGCTCGCCTTGCTGGAAGGAGACAGACGTTGCCTCCAGAGTAATTCCTAATATCATCCATATAGCTTTAATGCGTTTATAATTCGATAAGTGATTTCAATTTGAAATTGTTAGTAACTAATTTTATGGGTAATTTTTCCACATCAAATATTTAAGCATCAGATTAAGGGAGCCAGTTCCGACACAGGATAATAAGGAGGTTTCCCCTCCGCCCCCTCTTCTCCCTTTTCTACTGAGTAGTTTTTCCAAATCCCCAAAAGATGGCAGTCGAATCCGAGATTCTGCTTTCCCCTAGACTCCGCGGAGGGAGAGGGAGGGGTACGAGAGTGGGAGAAGATCGAGAGAAAGGAAGGAAAGGGAAAGGAGATAGGGAATGGGAGAGAAAGAGCGAAAGTAGGCAGACTAGGAGACAGAGAGAGAGAGAGAGAGAGAGAGAGAGAGAGAGAGAGAGAGAGAGAGAGAGAGAGAGAGAGAAACAAACGTGAAGACGACGTCGAATCTACTTTTAAAAGCAATTCTTTCGGAGATTTCTAATAGCAAGCCTTCCTGCCTGAGCTTCCTGGAAATGCTCTAGGGGGTGAAGGGGGAGAAAGGGACGAGCCTCAAGGAGGGGGTGGGGTGGTGATAGAAACA